GGCCAACCTTGCAGCAGGCTGCATTAGCAAGAGAGCAGCCAGCAGGTCAGGAGAAAGTGTTCTTCCCCTTAATCTGGCACTGGTGAGGCCACATCTGGATGCTGTGCCCCACTTGGGGCTCCTCAGTAAGAGAAAGACACATGGGAGGCAAGCCCAGAGGAGACCACTAAGATGAGGCTGGAGGAGATGGTGTACAAGGAGAAGCTGAGATAACTGGGCTTGTTCAGCCTGGAGAAGGGAGGGCGAGAATCCCACAGGCTTTTGTGGAGCTGGATGCCACCGCTGCCGCCTGACAAAGGTGGGAAGCAGGACTACAACCAAGTCCTCTTGATGTTCTCGAAAAACAAAGGCAGGTTTGTCCCCAAAAGAGTCATGGCCCCACCTCGCTCCTCGCAGACACGGGGCCCTCTGCTCCCTGCGCTCATTACCTGGGGAGCCATCTCCAGCCGCGAGCGAAGCAGGAAGCTGTGCAGGTCGCCATATTTCATGAATGGGAGAATCACCATGGGCTTGGGGACCTGCTGGGAGCTCAGCTCGATGCACACGCCTGGGAAACACAGACAGGTTGCACAGCCCCGTGGGCAAAGGCACCACACTCCCCCCGCAGACGTCTGTGCAGGACCTGAGCACTCCCAAGTCCGGCTCCCCAGCCCAAATCCCAGCTGGAGAGCGGGGAGTGACAGCCCATACCTAGGAGTTTGATGACATTGGGATGGTCAAAGTCCTTCATGCACGCTGCTTCGCTGAGGAACTCTTCTATCTCCCTTTGGGAGAAGTTATCCACTGGGAAGCAGAGAAAAAGGAGGAGGTTTAAAACCCCAAGAGCTTTAACACCCCAAATCACTGCTGCCGTCTTCCTTCACAGCACAGTTATTTAGAAATAGCTCCCGCGTGAGTCAGGGGGAAGGGACCACTGGGATGTCTCTGCCATCCTTGGCTGTCTGATATGAGTGCCCCTTCCTGACTGGCACCAGGAGCTGTGGCAGAGAGGCCAGCATCCCCACAAAATGGTGCCAGGATGCAGAGAGAGCACCGCCTGAAATGGGTAGCAGGAGCGCTGGCACCCACTGGGACAAACGACATCAAGTTCTGCGAGGCCAGGGTGATGACTTACACTTCATAGTCTTCACAGCCACCTTCTGCGGGGTGCCTTCAGGCTGGCTGAGACGCCCCTCCATCACTGACCCGAACTCCCCTGCACCATGGGAAAGAAGCAAGCACTTTATCCACAGCCCTGAAGGACACCACTATGTCCTTGAAGGTCTGAAATGCTCTAAGATGGACACCTCGTCCCCAAAAGTCTACGGGGCGGGGAGGCTTGTGTCTCATCAGTGGCAGAAGGAGGACAGGAACCCAGGGGTCCTGCCACTTGGTCATCTTGACCCACCATCTCCCCCGTATCCCCCGGGCCTGGAGCTGGGGGATGATGTAGGTAACAGTGGCAGCCCCTGCCCCATATGTCCATCCCCAGCTCTCCAGAACCAGCACTCACCCTCTCCCAGGACCTTCCCCAGGCTGAGGGCGTTTCTGTCCACGACAACGTCCTGCAGCTTCTGCTGGAGCTCACTGCTGACGCCCAGGCTGCCCACTGCAGGAGAGGGGAACAGAAGCTCAGGTCACCTCCAACCTGCAGACACATCGCTGCCGCAATATCCCCGTCGACCTCCTTGCAGAGGGACAAAAAAATATACTTACGCGTAAGTTCAATGGCTCTCCGACAGTAGGACTTCTTGGCCGTGTAGTTCACTGCCAGCTCCGAGT